CTTTTATAAAATATATTCTCCCAAATAATTAACAATTTCTCCGATTTTGAAATCAGACATTATTTTCTTCATACTTTTAGGTGCAACAATGGTATCAATTCGACTGTTAATTACTTCCAGTAATTCAACACAACTTTCTGATAAATCAAAATTGTATCCGTTTGTTTTTTCAATCACCAATTTACTTGTGCAAATTGGTAAATTGAGTTGTACCATTTCATTTGGTATATTTCCTCGATTTTCACTCTCAAAATTGGTCAACACAATTTCTTTTAACTTGGTGCAACAACTCCAGTCCCTTATTTTTCCAGTCTTCAGAAATTCGATATTTTCGGGCATCTTCTCTTCTAAATTCCCAACAATTTCTAAGTGTTTTACATTCTCCAAATTTACTTTAAAACTTTTATATTCATGTGCATATATTTCAAGTCTCTCAACACCACTTGGTATTTTCAAATTGACTGTTTCCAGCGGTTGGAATACACTCAGCGCAGTGAGACTGGTAATCTGAGTCACGTCGACGTTGTTTATAAACTTTTTGTCTTTTAGTCTTAATTCCATCAAATAGTATTTTTCAAAATTTTGGATGACGTCGTTAATAATTTCTGGGCGCTTCAAACAGTCTGTTGTATATATCACCTTTTCTTTTGTTAAAGAATCGTTGGGATCGATCTTAGAACTTTTCTTAAAAAATTTTGTCGACATAAAAATGACGTTGTCAAACATTAAATCAGTTTTTAAAAGTGATTTTGGACGGTCTGTCACGAAGAAAAATTTGATATTTTTTAGTGCAGATATTTGGGCGGCGTTTTTTCGAAAATAAAGAAGACCACCATCTTCTGTTAAAACGTCTTTTTTGAAATAATCAAAGCGATTGGGGTCGTCGCAATAAAAATGAAAAGTTGTGATTTTTGAGTTTTCAAAGTTTGTTAAGTCGATGAAGGAAATATCTTTACAGTACCATTTCCCTTTATCACATACCTTATTTAACACATCTATACGAACTTTAAAATGTTTCAAATTTGGGAAGTTGGTAATATCAAAGAGGCGGTTTTGAGACAGCTCCAAGTCTTCTGGAGTTGATGGGACAACAATTGTGAGAGTATCGATTTTGGGGAGGAGATCCCTTTCTGAGAGAAGTGTTTTGAAGTCACCAATTTTAACAAACAACTTGAGGATGTCTGCTGTGTAATAATAAGAGGAGTTTGTAAAATAAAATGATTGAATTGTTTCATGTTTTGTATACGAAAATATTTTCAATTCATTTTCGAGTGTTTCTATTGAATAAAACGGGTTTATTCGAAGCATTGTAAACGCAGCATTGCAGTCTTTGGATGAAAGGAGAAACGTTCTCAAAGTAGTCAGTGAATCTAAGTATAGTATAACATTCATGAGGTAGACGCGCTCTAATTTCACCATTTAAATTAATATTTGTAAGTTCACAATTAGAATTCTACGACTTTTATTCTATTATTTTTTAAATATTTTAAATAAATAATAATATATTTTTATATTAATATAATTCAATTAACACTTTAAATAACATTGAACAAAATTCAAGTGGTCTAAAAATCGGGGAACTCTCGAGTTTATTAAATAAATTTCCGTTTTTTTAGAGTTTTTATTTTGTGCATAAACAATACACAAGCCAAAAAAAGGAAAACCATCAAAATTTTGATTAATATCCCTGAAAAAACAGGCCAAAACAAAAATAAGGGCGTTATTTTAAGTGTTAATGAATAAACTTTATATATTCAATATATAAATAATAAGTCAATTATTTAAAAAAAAAGATTTTCATTGATATTAATTATGTCATTAAAATAAACTAATTTTACCATACCAACAAATATGAGAAATTAAAAATATGAATGAGTGGTTTCTGTTATTTCAAAGTTTTATTGTAATTTAATTAATTTGTTTCTTTGTTATTAATATATTCAAGTTTATTATGATTTTCTTCTCAAAATTTAAATATTTTCAATATGTGTCCAACAAAACAATACATTTAATTTAATGAGTTAATTCGCATTTCAACCATTGCAAGTCAAATATTTTAGATGACAACATTATTTTATCCATGATCAAATTAAATAATTTTAACATTCTAAAAGTTAAACAAATGATAAAGAATGTTTTTGTTTTAAATTGTATTGTTTCTTAATAATTGTACGAATATTTTAGATCATTTTTGAAAATTTAATTATTTTAAATAATTTGTAAACTGTAGTTCAAAAGTCTGTACCGCCGTATTTATAGAATTTCCTAAAGTCCCGTTTTTTATTTTTGTTTTTTCCTAAAAAACAAAAAATCAAAAGTAGAGACTTAATTTAGAAAAAAAATAGCAATACCGTTCAATTATTTTCGTACGATATCGGGACTTTATTGGAATATTAGCCAGCCTTTTCCAAAAAACCCGATCCCGTTATTTGATTGGACAAAAATTGGATATTCTACTAGACAACACACACAGTATAGTTGTGCTAATAACACAACAACAAACATCTCAGTGAATTGTACCGGATCATTTATGTCAAAATACTAAAAATCAATTTCGTTAAATTTTTATTTCAAACAAAAAACAAACTCGTGGTCTCTCTTTCAATACAAATAATAATAAATTTTTGAGTTCTAAAAACCAAAAAATAATAAATTAAAGCAAATGTCCTATAAATTTTACTTGATTCTCGATGCATAATTTAAATAGTTTTGGATTATCAATTGTTTGTTTTACTACAATTTGAATATGTTCTCTGGACACTTTTTTTGGTCGACCCAATTTTATCGGTTTTGCCTTTCCCCCTCTTTTTAATTCAGATACTATGGTTTTTGAAATTCCAACTATTTTTGAGAAGGCACTGTAAGAATAATTTCTTCGAGCAACACATTTGCTCTTGTTATTTTTTCTTTTTCTGATAAATAAAGGTTTGACTCTGAAGGTTTTGACATATAATAATTATCAATTTTTAAAAATGCACTTTTGGGATAATTCACGTGTTTTTATAAAACAAAAATACCATTATTTCATATCTTATATGGAAGTTTTTTATGCTTAAAAATTCTTCAAGTAAAAAATTATTTTGAAGACCTTTTTTTCTATTTTACTCAGAAAAATAATCAAATTTTTATAACAAAAAAATTGTTTCCCAAAAATAATACTCAAAATAAAAGCAAATTTTGGGGTCGCTTCGGTACAGACTTTTGAAAAACAGTTTATTATAAATTAAACAAAATAATAAAAAAAACATTATTTTTTTATTAAAAACTTAAATCAATATAAAATGTATTCAAACGTTGTTGTTTTAGGGACAAGTCAAGTTGGCAAAACAGTTGTTATTAAAAATTTTGTATCAGAGCATAACAATTTCGGTATTGATGTGTGTATGCCCGAAGAAACTTATGTGAAGAGTTTGGCCATTAACAATGAACTAATAATTGTTTCAATTTCCGACACATTTCCAATGATGAACAACTACAATTCAGTCAAAGATAATTACATAAAAACGTGTGATGGTTTTGTTTTGATGCATTCAATAACTTCATTTGGCTCTTTCGAAGCTGTTAAGACTTTATATGACGAAATTTATGAAATGAGAAATTTGAATTTTGAAACGCACATTCCAATAGTGATGTGTGGAAACAAAAGTGATTTGGAAAGCGACAGAGAAGTTCCAACCGATGAAGCTAATAGAGTGGCACAATTCTTAGACATTCACTTTTTTGAGACATCTGCAAAGTCAAATACAAACATAAAAGAAATGTTCATTGGTTTACTTCAAGATGTACAAAGAAATAAAACAAAACAAAGAAATGAAAAACAATCTTCGAATAAACACACAAAAGGGTGTAAAACACAATAATTTCAATGCGTTATTTGTTTAGAGGAAAATCGTTTATTTATCTCATACTCAGCTGTTTATTTATTATTATAAAATAATTTAATTCTAATTAAAATATAAAAGTTTTATGAAAAATATATTTTTATTATATTTTCATTACTCAATAAATAACATAAACTATAATCGACTAAAAAATTATAGACATAATAATTGGCAGAAGGATGTATTTTTCATTAATTACCCTAAAAATGGTTAAAAGTGAAAAAAAATGTTTTAAATAATTCCAAATCACTCAATTTTATAAATTTTCCTGATTAAAGTTTTAAAACTGTTTATCTCACTATTCACATTTATAGTTATGATAAAAAACAGTTAAACTTAACCAAAAAGGCGACTAAGTAAAATAATTATAAAAATAAAAGAATAACATTACAGAAGGGTGTGTTAGGAGCTTACAATACTAAGGGGCTTGACCTATTGTTTTATTTTCTTTTTTTTCCTATAAAAAGTTTTCCCAATTCTATTTAAAAAAAAATATAAATAATTTATAAAAAATGTCAAAGAAAAAAAATTCCAAGCTTATCCAAAATAAAATAAAACGTTTTTTTTTGAAAAGAAAAGGTTAACAACCTACAGTGTTATATAGAAAATTGAACGACTTATTTTTTGTTTAAAATAACCAAGAATTCACACATTATCTATTATTTTTGTTTCCATTACAGCACAAATACAATTTCTTTTTACAAAGACGGGATTTCCTTTAGCAATAATAGACAAGTTGTTTCTCACACAAACCAACACGTCTCACCATTTGTCTTGTGTATTCGGAGTTGTTAAAATATTATATTACTGGGTTTTCTAACAATTGAAGATCAATTGACGCCATTTTTGTAGTAATTGAAGACAGTGAGGTTCAAATTGGATTGATTTTTGGATGAGAGGACATAGTGATAATGATGGCAGATTACGATAAGTTCTAAGAGAACAAGGAAAGCAGAGAGAGCATATTTGTATTTCCATTGCTCGTCAGACCAAAAAGGTGTTGGAGGCATGAGAGAGCAATGTAACAAAAACATGATTTGTTGCATGATTTAAGCTTTTTGGTGTCGTTGGAGTCAATATTGGCAAGATCAAGAGAATGTTCATTTTATCAAAGAGGCTTTTAGGTTGTTCCAAGAAGACAACAGTGTTTATACCAGAGAACACTTGGAATCGTTTGTTCTTCCGCCTACACCAACATATTTGATCAAAATCACAGAAAAAAGTTTGCATTGGAATATCCAAGAGCTGAACCAACAACGAGAGCCATATCAAACAAGAAGACTAACGCCTACTGATGACTCAATTGAGAACTAACAACTAACAAACACCCAAGTCGTTTTTAATACAATTTCAAGTTCTGACTTTATGCTAAGGATGAACCAATACATTAATGGTTTATAAACTATAACTTATAAGTCAAGGTTGTGTTTTTAAATAGAACATTAAAAATAGTTTTTATTTAAATATAGTAAATAAACCATTAAAAGTTTAGGTCAAGCCCCTCACTCCCCCTACTGTATATACATTTATTATATGCATACAAAAATAAATACATTTTAAAAAACGTGCCTTTATATTGTCTTTTGATTATTTTTACTACATTTAAAAATTGTTGTTGACCATTTATAAATCGTTTCACTATATTGCACACATTTTAATACATTTGAAGAAATACATTAAAATAAAGGTATATTTTTGTTTATTTATATATCAATTAAAAATGAAATTATAGTATTATTAAAATATCACATATAAATAATAGATTAAATATCTTTTGTTTTTCTTTTATGTTTTTCTTTTGCAATTTGTTGTATAACTGTTTTCTTTTTTCGTTTTAGACAACGTATTGGTTTATCTATTTTTTCATGAGAATTACTGTTATTTGGATCGGACACAATTGATGATAATGGGATTTCTTGCTGAATGTCGACCTCTAAGTCTGGACAACTTGATTGTGAAATTTTACATGA